GTAATAATGTACAGGTTTACTGTAATTACTTCTATAATATAGTAAAGGTATATAATCCACTTTTGGACATTTAGCCTAGCATGATTCTGAAATGAAAACTGCTCACCTACATTAAACTTTTCATTCTCACTTTGGTCCATCTGCATCCTTTGCAATATATCTAAGTCTATTTAATACCCCACCAGCAAAATCACTTTTAAATTACACAACGATGTATGAAACTGCATGAAGAGAATGAATAACATCCCGTAAATCTACTAAGTAAGTGAAGAATAATCTAATAATCATCTGTTTTAATGCACATGGTAATTCGATTAGCTGTGCTGATAATATACTATTTTGTTCTATAAATGTCATACCTTTCAAAAGTTCATCACAGCGGTCTCTTCTGCTGCATCTCTACGGCGCTGATAGTATGAGCGCTAACTTCCGGGAACTATAGTCCATTGGAGTGAACGGAGTTGTCGCAACTCTCTCTCTCTACAGCTCTGGAGCAAACTACCTGGTTGGAGGGGCGTGGTTAAGCATATTCTGCCCAAGCCATCAGAGAAGGATTGCCATTCCAAAGCAGAAGCAAATGTTCAGCTTTTGATTAAAGATTATCAAGACAAACAATTTTTTCAGTGGTTTAACATACATTGTTCACCTCAAGACTAGCAATGGGTGCTAACAAATTGAATTTTGTACATTTTAATTCCATGCAGATTTTCTGTTAAAATCAGACAAAAATTATGTAAATATTATCATAAATATCACATATGAAAGAAATGTAGTTGCTTCCTTTGTCTTTATTATGAAAAAAGTTTAATTGGGACAGATTTGTGCTGTACAGACAAGATATACACATATACATGATAGTAGCATACATTTGTTTTGTTTTTAAATATGTAATGGCTACTGATAAAGACAGAGTACAATATCACATCAAGTTACATAATGTGAGAGCTTAAACATTATTTAAAATAAGTGATAGAAAAAATGACCTCCTGGCCTCCAGTGCTTTTCATTTTGGCAGTATTAATTCATAGTTTTATAATATCAGTGAGAGAGAGAAAAAAA